AATTTATGTTTTACAGTAAAACCTGGATAATTTCATGGTTCGGCACATTATTTTTTTTTCGTCTTAAAATTTGAAAAAAAATAAAATTTTGTGAAATTTTTTTCTCGGCAAAAATATTTTTTTCATCTTAAAAAAAAGATCTATAAAAGGTATTGCTTAAATTGTGTTATTTAAAACATTTTGAGCTAAAATTAATTTACGAATTATAATATATTAGCTGAAAAACCCGATTTACAGTCAAAGTCGCTTATTTGTGGGTTTTCTTGCATAAAAAGCTGTCTATTTGTAGGTTTTGCTTAGAATTGGGAAGAATATTCTTTGATTTATTATAATTATCAAAAATTAATTACCATAATTTTAGTTTTTTGTCTTTTAATAAAATCTGCTTGTAAATGTTGTCCGCTTGACAAAAATTTACACAAAATAAGCCTTAAATAATAGGAATTAAAAAAAGGTGGGAAACTAAATAAAATCAAAAATAGTGTTTTTGGAGATTTTTCAATAATTTCCCGTAATATTCCAGTTTTAATGGTCCATAAATTTACTATTACCGTTTTAAGACCGATAATATAATTACAAATATGAGATTATAGTTTCGACGAATACTAACGTTTCGTTTTATTATTTGAATACTATTTGAATAATAATGAACAAGATTTTTATTATTTTCAAAAAACGTTCAAATATAACTATTATATTTAATTTATACAATATTATAAAAATTATTAATTATTAGTCGAAACCTCAGTACCACATTTGTATTATCAATCAAAAATTATTATTAATTATAGTATTTTTTAAATAAATTATAAAAACAATTATTAAAAACAATTATTAAATATTGAAACCATTTTAACAGAAACTTAAAATAATTAGATTAAATGAGTTAAAAAAATACAAAAGAAGTCTTATTCATATTATATTTCGTCTCAGATACACTCAAAAAATAAAGTTATTCTAATTGATTTCAATTAATTATTCAGTTTCGAGAAGATACAACCCATTTGTATGTTTTGATTTTGATTGGTCAGTTAACCCACAAACAAGCAAAACCCACAAATACGAAAACCTACAAATAAGCGACTTTGACTGTATTTAAATAAAAACATGTTTTATTGTTCATTTTATAAAAAAATACATGTTAATTAAATTTTTAAACTAAAAATAAAACACCACAAACCATAAATATATTTCGAAAACGCAAGTCAATATCTATTATTATAAATATATGTAACAAATTCAAATTCAGTTAAAATCATAAACAAAAACAAAACAAAAATAATTTAATGTCTTTTGAATGTTTTCATGTCATCACATCCGTACATTCAAGTTTGTTGTCATTTGGTTTGAATAATTTGATAATTAACAATTATTATTCAGGTGATCCAGCGTTTGTTTAGAAGTCGATATACAAGTTATGGCGTGTACTTATTAGCACACTTAAATTAACATATTTTGTGTTGTCAAGTTATAAGTTCATTGTGAAATAATTGGCTTTGATAAGCGATGATGTCATTGGGTTTAAGTTGACTCGACATGTTGTTTTGTCCTTTTGGTGGTTCAGCTATAGCCTTTGAATTGAAGAGTTCCAAGAATAATTTATCCTGCTTTCTTTCGGATGTAATATATTTATTGTAAAAAATACCATTTGAATGTATTCAAAAAAGGTTTTAAATTCAAAAGATTAAATTCGAATCTTCAAGAACAAGGAAATTAACTTTTTGTTTGATTTTTTTATTTTTTTGGAGGCAAATGGGATTAATAAAAAACAACAATTATAATTATTTAAAAATTATTAAATTTATTATACATGTTTGACTGTTTATAATATTTGTAAACTGTTTTTCAAAAGTCGGTACTGAGGTATCCCGATTTTTTGGATTTATTTTGTTTATTATTTTTGGGAATCGTTTTTTTGTAATAAATTCGCTTATTTTTTCCAAGTAAAAAAGAGAAAAACAGTCTTCAAAAAATATTTTTTTACTTGAAGAATTTTTAAGCATTAAAAAATTCCATATAAAATTTGAAATAACGGGATTTTTGTTTTTGAAAAACACACGAATTATCCCAAAAGTGCATTTTAGTACAAAAGCAAATAATTTTTAATGTCAATCTTTTTCATTATCAAACATTTTATTAATTAATGAAAATATTCACAAAACAAAAGCTTAGTTCGAAAGATTGGTATGCTTAATAGTGTTGTCACAACAACAATAAAGATATCAAAATGATTTGATAACTTATCTTTGTTGGGTTTTATAAAGTCGACATTCTTTTTGAGCATTTCAGTGAAACATCTTTTTTAAAATATCCAATAACAAAACAATAATGTTATTTTGTATTATTTTTCTAGTGTTGTTCTTTGACAATTTGACTTATGTCAGTCAAAATTATCAAACATTTGCTGTAATTTATTTTTTGGTGTTTTTGGAACTCTTTATTTCATTATTTTTTATTCGGAGAAAATAACCACATGTTTGTTTTTAATTAAAAATGAAAAATTAATGAGAGTAATATTCAGTTAAAACTCGACACAAACAACACCATCCCAATTCACTTAAACGTTAATTGTTGTGTTTTTATGCCAACAATGCTGTGTATATGTTGTGAAGTATCGAGTTATGGTCAAATCAAATAACGGGATCGGGGTTTTTGGAAAAAGATGGCTAATATTCCGATATTTTCCCGAATTTGTACGAAAATAATTGAACAGGATTGGTATTTTTTTCAAAATAAAGTCAGTACTTTCGATTTTTTGTTTTTTTGTTTTTTTAGGAAAAAACAAAAATAAAAAACGGGACTTTAGGAAGTTCTAAAAATACGACAGTACCGACTTTTGAAAAACAGTTTATATATAAAACTATATCTATCCATTAACTATAGTTATATTTTTAATTTAACAACTATAATTTATACAATTTAAAACAAAAATTTTGTTTAATAATTAGAAATATCATTAATATTTTTTATTAATTATGTAACAATTAATTATAAAAAAGGCTCAAATTATTAAATTCAATTTAACTTTTCATACTAAATGACACTTTTTATAAAAGCTTCATTTCAAACATTAATTCATTTTAGTTAAGTATTCAATGGATATACATAAAACCAAAGGTTGTCCAGTTTTAAGTCCGAATATTTTTGAAAACGATAGTCTAAACCAATGCTTTAAACATGTTAAAATGACTTAAACTCAAAGAGACGTCTGTGATAATAAAGACTCAAAAAGAGTCTTTTGAATTTTGTTGAAGTTTTCATGTTGATCTTTGTGACTTGTTTAACATTAGAGAAAAATCGTTCAACACAAACAGATGTCGGACAAACGGAAAACATGAAACACAATACACTATGTAGAAACGGAAATTCAGCTTTATTGAACGGATAAAACGAAGATAAATGAAGTTTGTCAACATAGTGTTCACCACGAAGTTTTAATTCAAACACGTTTAAACACTTTTTGGACTTTGATTCAGATCTTTTTTGTTCAATAACATCCCATGGTCGACTTCTTACATTTGAGATAAAGTGGTGTGCTTCATCAATGTGTTCTTTGTATTCAGACATTAAAATGTCAATATGTTGAAAAGCTTCCTCGTCAGAATTTGAAGACAGTGTAATTTTACATCCAACAGGAGTACGCGCTTCCATATAATCTTTCTCTGTTGGTTGAAATTTTAACACATTAATTGAACGTAATTTGTTTTTAAAGCGCATTTGGAGTCTAACATACAATACTTTAAAGTAATATGATATTTATTTGTTATCAAATTTGAGTCCATTTTGTGAAGACAAAGAAACACATTCTTGCAAGTTCTCTTCATTCTCTTCAAGTTGTCGTATTATTCCTTTAACATGATCAATAAACATATCAGAAAGTTCAATCATATTCCAAATAACAGCTCCTCTGACTTGAAGACACCTATTAAATGGAACAAGAAGTCGACACAAATCAGAACACAAATCAAAAGAAACTAGTATCTTTGGATGCATTAAGTCAAAATTAACATTTCTTTGTATTTCAAAAATTCGTTGTTTGTCAAATAGTTTGTCAGATATTTCATTTATAAATATTAATTGCCTTTCTTCAAAATAATCGTGGATTTCCTGTTGTATTTCTTCTTGTAATATAAATTTATTTATGAATTCTCTTTGATCAATTATATCTTCTAAGTTGTTTGCTACATACTCCCACCTTGTAGAACAAAACGTTGAAATTCTGTTCAATTTTATGGAGCTGTCTTTTAAATATTTTTCATATTTCGTTCGAACAGATTTGGTACAAAAGTATTTAATGAACGTGGTTGTTATATTGAGCAACCCATATTCCAACACATCTCCATCTACCAAATTACTTAAATGGCCTTTTCACCAAGAACCACAAAAACTCTTATATGCGCCATAACATTCTTTTTTATTTGGATTGATTTTTTGATTGATCTTTTCTATCATGCCATTGAATTTTCCACTAATTACAAAATTGAGATCTTTTGTAACATTTGTCCACAACTTTCTTTTAATATGAAGTTTTTAATGCATTTGACAAACCATTCACACAGAAAATCTGCATCACCACTTTTCATGTTGTATTCTTTATAAAAAAGAGGACACTCAAAAAAATCATTATCTCTTACAACTCGTATGAAAAACCCATACATTGGTACTCGATCAATTTTAATTTCATCTAATATAAAAGCAACACAGTTGGCATGTCGTGCTTCTGTTAACATTTGTTGCATTTCACTTTTAAAATCGACATTCATTTCTCTCAAACCGGTTCGTGTGCTAATTGCTACTTTTCG